TTTTTCAAGGACCAATAGACCAATAGAAAGAATATTTTTTCAAGGACCAATAGACGTGGATTTCTTAAAGAATATTTCTTCAAGGACCAATGGACGTGGATTTCTTAAAGAATATTTTTTCAAGGACCAATAGACGTGGATTTCTTAAAGAATATTTTTTCAAAGACCAAAAGGATCGAGGATTTTTTAAAGAATATTTTTTCAAGGACCGAAAGGATCGAGGATTTTTTAAAGAATATTTTTTCAAGGACCAAAAGGATCGAGGCTTTTTTAAGGAATATTTTTTCAAGGACCAAAAGGATCGAGGCTCTTTTAAAGAATTTTTTTTTAAAATTCAAATGGATCGAGGTTTTTTTAAATAATATTTTTTCAATGATTTTTAAAAAATATCTTCCAAGGACTCTCAGCTTTCTTGAGGACAATAAGGTTTCTTATAGCCCTTTCTTTTTCAAGGCCTTTCACTTTCTAAGAATTATCATTATTTTTTCATTAGCTACTCTGACAGAGGTACCCAGGATATCCCTTCACTTCACTACCACATGTGGTCAATATATGAGACCCTTGCATACAAGCCTTTTGAAAATCACACATTAACACTTCATTATCAAATGCTTCAAAAAAAAAAAAAAAATGCAGCAACAAAATAAAAATTGTCATCCTCTCTCCCTCTCTCGTCCTTTTCAGACAGTAAAGGATTAACCTGGACTGGACTGATTGGCTCGCAATAGGTGACAAAAATCCGGAGTAGAAGAAATTTGCCAAACAATGTGTGTAACTAACTAATGTCCAGCCAGGCCTTGCAGTAGAAGCCAGTAACAGATGTCTCAGAAAAGAAGAAAAGCAAAAAAAATATTGCACAAAAGGTTTGAGCTGAGAGGGTATTAGGGTTTCAAATCTTTCTGGTGCAGTAAAACATTTTTTTTGAATCCTGCGATTCCGTGGCAGACAATGCAGGACACAAAACAACAACAGCATCTAATATTTGAAAAGATTCCTTGTGGCTGGTTATAGGGCCATGGACATTGGAAAACACCAACAATTGTTTTGCCAAAGCGACAGGACATTCAGAGCATTGCGAGTGTCAAATGTGGACATAATCATAGCAGACTGTCACACAAATCTGTCACAGCACCACCACCACCACCAGTGTCAGTCGTCCTTAGTCCAGGCTCTTGTTGGGTAGACAATTTGGATGGATGATGATGATGACTGCAGACCACCCGGAGATGTCCTGCTGTGCATAAAAAGGGCTCGTGTTGGAGTTTAACATAAAGGACAATGGCATCACAACAGAAGTATCCTGCCGGCAGAGACGTGCCTCTATTGATTGTGATTGAACGACTAAAATCCTCAATGTGTGTGTGTGTGTGCGGCTTTGATTATGAATTGCAATTTATGTGTGTGTAGGCATGTGCGTGTGTGTGTGTTTAGGACCATATCTAGAATTATTAACTCTAAACCAAAAAGCCGATATTAAGAATGACTAGTAAGTGTCAATGTTTGTTTTTGTTCTTTGTGTGGATTCTGGTCCTGTTTCATACTCCTGTTGTTTGTCTTTAACATTCAAGAGTGTTAAAATTAAGATGTCCTGCTGCCTGTCAGTCCGTCCGCCTTTGATGCTCTCACCCAATAATTGTGTTGTCTTGGGTGCGTGTGTCAGCATGTGCAGTTTTCTAAGCCAAGATTTTTTGTGTCGTCCACAAAATCACCCAGCCAGCCATACAGAATGGGTAGACAACACAATGTTAGAGGAAAAAAATAGAAAATCAAAAAAATCCGTATTCCATCGCTCACAGTCTGCATTAAGCCGATTAAATCTTTTTAATTATGATTTATGATGTATTTCGTTTTTTTTTCGTCCAGACCACTGGGTGAGATGAATGGTCTGGGCTTGAGCCAGGAAGCAGAGATTTTGTAAACGGTAATGGTAACCGCTAGGATCAGGGATTTTGTTGTGATTGTTTTTCTTTTTCCTTTTTTTTTTCGACTCATCATCAATTGGTATAAAAATATTTTGATAGATTTGGTTGGCCAAAGTCAATCGAATGCGAAATTATGGGAGCGGGGAATGTGATAAATTTTTTTGTACTTACAGGAGAGAGGAGTAGATTTTTTTTTTTATAAAATCGGAAATACATACCTGAAAGAGAAAAGAAATGGAAAATGTTATTATTAAAATATTAAAAAACATGTAAAATAAATTAACATTTAAGAAAATGAATCAGGACAAAGATAAGGACAAAAAAGTCCTATAAACGTGAATTTTTAAAAAAAATTTTGGATTTTTAAAGAATATTTTTCAAAGGACCAAAAGACCTTTAAACGTGGATTTTTAAAGAATATTTTTCAAAGGACCAAAAGACCTTTAAACGTGGATTTTTAAAGAATATTTTTCCAAGGACCAAAAGACCTTTTAATGTGGATTTTTAAAGAATATTTTTCCAAGGACCAAAAGACCTATAAACGTGGGTTTTTAAAGAATATTTTTCCAAGGACCAGAAGAACTCTAAACGTGGATTTTTAAAGAATATTTCTTCAAGGACAAGAAGACCTCTAAACGTGGATTTTAAGACAATTTTTTCAAGGACAAAAATACCTTCAAACGTGGATTTTTAAGGAATATTTCTTCAAGGACAAGAAGACCTCTAAACGTGGATTTTTAAAGAATATTTCTTCAAGGACAAGAAGACCTCTAAACGTGGATTTTAAGACAATTTTTTCAAGGACAAAAATACCTTCAAACGTGGATTTTTAAGGAATATTTCTTCAAGGACAAGAAGACCTCTAAACGTGGATTTTTAAGACAATTTTTCAAGGACCAAAAGACCTTTGACCAAAAGACCTTTACACGTGGATTTTTAAAGAATATTTTTCCAAGGACCAAAAGGCCTTTAAACGTGGATTTTTAAGGATATTTTTCCAAGGACCAAAAGACCTTTAAACGTGGATTTTTAAAGAATATTTTTCCAAGGACCAAAAGACCTTTCAATGTGGATTTTTAAAGAATATTTGTCCAAATACCAAAGGACTTTTCAATGTGGATTTTTAAAGAATATTTGTCCAAGGACAAACGGACCTATAAACGTGGATTTTTAAAGAATATTTGTCCAAGGACAAACGGACCTATAAATGTGGATTTTTAAAGAATATTTGTCCAAATACCAAAAGACCTTTCAATGTGGAATATTTGTCCAAATACCAAAAGTCCTTTCAATGTGGATTTTTAAAGAATATTTGTCCAAGGACAAACGGACCTATAAACTTGGATTTTTAAAGAATATATGCCCAAGGACCAAAAGATCTTTAAACGTGGGCTTTTAATGATTATTTTTTCAAGGACCTGTAGAACGTGGATTTTTAAAGAATATTTTTGCAAAGACTTGTAGATCAAAGAACATGGATTTTTAAAGAATATTTTTGCAAGGACCTGCAGATCTAAGAACGTGGATTTTTAAAGAATATTTTTGCAAGGACCTGTAGATCTAAGAACGTGGATTTTTAAAGAATATTTTTGCAAGGACCTGTAGATCTAAGAACGTGGATTTTTAAAGAATATTTTTGCAAGGACCTGTTTATCCAAGAACGTGGATTTTCAAAAAGAATATTTTTGCAAGGACCTGTTTATCCAAGAACGTGGATTTTCAAAAAGAATATTTTTGCAAGGGCCTGTTTATCCAAGAACGTGGATTTTCAAAAAGAATATTTTTGCAAGGACCTGTTTATCCAAGAACGTGGATTTTCAAAAAGAATATTTTTGCAAGGACCTGTTTATCCAAGAACGTGGATTTTCAAAAAGAATATTTTTGCAAGGACCTGTTTATCCAAGAACGTGGATTTTCAAAAAGAATATTTTTGCAAGGACCTGTTTATCCAAGAACGTGGATTTTCAAAAAGAATATTTTTGCAAGGACCTGTTTATCCAAGAACGTGGATTTTCAAAAAGAATATTTTTTCAGGTACCAAAAGACCACCAATCGTGGATATATTTCTTCAAGGACCAATAATCATGGACTTTCAACACTTCAACAATAGACCACTAATGGAATATCTTTTAAGTGCCAGCGGACCTATAAACGTGGATTTTTTAAAGAATATTTTTCAAGGATCAACAGCATTCCAAGGGACAAGCATTCCACTAATCGAGGATTTTTCTAGGACTCTCAGTGTTAATTTTCAAAGATCAGCAAACAGCGAATCGTGGAGTTTTAAAGAATTATTTTCTCAGGGACCAAACTAATCGTAGATTTTTAAAGAACATCTCTTCAAGGATCATCGTGGATTTTCAAAGGATATGTCTTCAAGAATCGGCAGACCTCTAGTCGCAGACTTGTAAAAAAATATTTCTTCAAGGACCGGCAGACGAAAATTCCAAAAAAACACGAATTTTTAAAAAATATTTCTTCGAGGACCAACTGATATTTAGAGACTTTTTATCAAAAGTTTTTAAAAGAATATTTCGAGGATTTCAAAGAGTATTTTTCTAGGATTCTTAGAATTATTTTTTCAAGGACCAACCGATCTATAATTATGGATTTTTAAAGAATATTTTTCGAAGGTCCTAAACACCACTAAACGTGGATTTTTAGATAATATTTTTTCAAGGAAAAAGAGACCACAACACAGCTCGTGGATTTGTCAAGAATATTTCTTCAAGGACCAACAAACCAATAATAGTGGATTTTTTAGGGAGATTTCTTTAAGTAAAAGTGGAGTTTTGCGGAATAATGTCATACAAAATTGTGTCCCCTTGTGTGGGAGGTACCAAAGAGAGTCGGTAGATAAATTCCATATTCACACCAGAACTCTGGTTGGGAAAAATATTTAAATATGCAGGTTTGAAGAGAATCACTGACTTGTTTCGCATGTCATTTGGTTTATAATCATTCAAAATTTTGACTCACACAGAGGTACCAGGAAGAAGTGGGTCGATTTTCTCCATTCTCGAGCCTGACCTGATACGAATGTAAGTCGCCTCTACTAAAGAACAAAATTATTAAAAATTGAAATCCATTTTTTATACTTCTTTATTGATCTACACAAACCAAAAATAAAACATATAAATTTACCAACTCAACAAATAGGATCCGTGGGTACAACATCCTGGGCCAAACCCGTAATCAGGGCAATCAATTCCACCAAAGAAATATTTTTCAATGCAGCATCCAAAGGTGGCACCACCAAATTTTCAACAAAAGCACTTACAGCCTCCGAGTTGTCCTCCTCAAAGGTCAAATTAATGAACTCCTCAATCCATGAATTGAAAAGTTTGTTGTAAATCAATTTACCGCCCATAATCCCAGTAGTCTTTGATTTCGAAGATTCCAGCTCAAGTTTTGCATTGAAGCCCTTGACCATGAGGCCACCAGATAAATTGGGACGCAATTTGAAACTGCCACGGGCTCGAAGATTTATCAGTTCCAAACTAAAGACACCATCACCATGGAACCCAGTAGCTGGACCAAACATACTTGTGACGGCGTTTAACTTATATGACTCGCTACGGGCCCAGATAGAGGGGAATTTAAAATCAAAAGTGATTTTTGCCAAGACATTATTCCAATGCAGTTCAACAATGTCGAACTCGTTGAGACCGGTTATCACCAGATTTGTTAAATTGCCTTTTAAACTAAAACAAAACATTAAATTAAAATATTTTCATTTTAAATTTATTCATTCTAAACCCACCTCCAACCACCACCTTGTAGATCAAACTTAGCAAAATCCTGCTGATATGGTGCCAGGGGTGGCACACCAGCCTGTTCGTAGCCACATTGCATTTGTAGTTTCACAAATTCCATAAATTCTCTCAAATCATCATCGAACTTGGTCCTACCCTCAGGTTGCAGCCTTCCATCGAATAATTTATAAGATTGAGAGGTTTGTAGAAAAATTCCCAAAATTATGGCAATTTTTATAACTTGCGTTAATTTCAACATTTATTTATGAGTAATAGAACGACGACGATGACAAATCGAACTGTTCTCTGATTCTGAAGAAAATCAAACATTTTAGCCAAGTTGAACAAGTGTTTTGTTATATTTATGGTGATTAGATTTAATATATTTGCCCATTAGATAAGGATTAGTTTAATAAAGTCTGCAGCAATGGTTGTCAAACTATTTAAAGGAAATTGATGAACGCCTTAAAGTAGGCAACACTTTTGAAGTGCCTTTTCTGATAATTCTTATTGCTTGGAAGTTTTTATGGATAGTTTCATTGGATTCTTATTGGTATTAAAACAATTCTCATTCAAGGGCAATTTGTGTGGATGATTCTGTTGGAATCTAATTGGAATTACAATGTGACATGATTACATGAATGACATTGGAAGCTTCAAGTAGAGGTGATAGCATTCTCAGGCCAAACTTTTCTAGGGCCCAATATATAGCCTTAACCATATACAAACAAAAATAGAATTTTGATATATGCCTATGGGTTATATGGAGAATCATTTATACAAAATATGAGTCATGACGGTTCACTTTTGGGTATAGATCTGACATACGGGTATACCCCGATTTCAAGTATTTTTTTTTTACATTTCAGCCATATTTTATACCCTCCATCAAAAAACTGCAACCCAGTCAAACGCTATAATTTTTACAATTTTTTTTTTTTTAAATTTTATTGAATGAAATCAAAAAATGTCGGAAATAGCATCAGATTTTAGAATAAGTTTAGATTTCTTCGAATTGGCCACCTTTGGCACGAGTTATTGCCTTCAAACGGCCAATGAAACCATCACACGCTGCCCAAATTTTGCTCTGCGGTATTTTGGCCCATTTCCGGCGTAGCGCTTGCTTGAGGTGATTGACACTTTGGTATTTTTTTAAGTGTCAACCTTGCTTTCCAAAATACTCCAGACACAATAGTCCAATGGATTGGTACCAGGAGGTTTTGGTGGCCATTGTGCGCTGGAAATGAAGCGAGGAACCTCATTTTGTAACCATTCTTGGGTGGCGCGTGTTGAGTCCAGTTGGAATGTCCAAGGTCTGTGGCCAAAATGACTGGGTGCCCAAGGCTTTAATACACCCTCCAGAATATTTTCGCGAAAATATTCGGCATTTCTTCTGATGCCACGGTCGATTAATACGAGCGGAGAGCCACCATCGGCTGTTATGGCGACCCACACTATCACCATGGCCGGCGCTTGAGTTCTGCTGGCCAACCGAAGGCGCACATTTTCAGCTAAGCTCTTTGGCAAGTAAACACGATCATTGGAAAAAACCAAATTCGGCAGTTCACCACTTTCGGCCAAACGAAGCAACTCTTTAGCTCTTTTGAGTTTATTTTCTTTATGTTGCGGTGTAGGCTCTTGAACTTTTTGAAATTTCAATGGCTTTACCCCGAGCTCATTTTTCAATATTTGCCGAATGGAATATTGCGATATGTTCAGCTCACGAGCCTTTTTCCGGACGAGTGGCTTAGAAATGACAGAAGTCTGAAGATGGTTGCAGTTTTTTCATCTCACCCTATATATCATCTTCAAAATGATGCTTATTTCACGTTTTGCTTTAAAAATATTAAACCCTATGTGGAGGAACTATTAGAAGAAATGGTCCCGTTTCCATCATCTTTACAACAGATTTTGTTTTGATAGAAATACTGAGATGTGCCAAGTCTGAATGGAATCGGTTGTTAATTTCGTGTTTTTTGAGCTTCATGGAGATTCAAAATTTTGCGCCAAAAGGAGTGGACCGATATGTCGCATCTTCACAACAGATCTTAAGATAATGGAAATAATGGGATGTGTGCAATATAAAGAGAACCTAATGTTTATTTTTGGTTATTCAAAACTTTTACCCTTTGTGGGGGAGGTACCAGAAGAAATGGTCCCATCTCTACCGTTTTTATAACAGGTCCTGTGTTGGTAGAAATATTCAAATGTGCCAAGTCTAAATGGAATCGGATATTAATTTCACGTTTTATGAGCTTAATGGATATTCCAAATTTCGACCTTTTGTGGGGGAGGTACCAGAGGGAGTGTACCGAGATATTCCATCTTCACACCAGACCTTGGGTTAAAAAAAATATTGTGATATGTGTAATTTGCAGACATAATTATTCAAAATGTTGACCCTATGTGGGAGAGGTACTTGATAGAGTGGACCGATATTCTCCATTTTCGCACCTGACCTAGAGCTGACGTAAATATAAGGATTTGCAAAGTTAGAGCAAAATTTGATTATTGCTTCCTTTTCTGTGCAACAAAAAAATTAAAAAATTGACCCTTTGTGGGGGAGGTACCAGAAGGATTGTACCGATATATTCCATCTTCACCCCGGACCATGAGTTAATAAAATTATTGAGATATGTAAAATTTGAAGACAATCAGACTCTTACATAACATTTTATAAGAGTTATAATTATTAAAAATGTTGACCCTATGTGGGAGAGGTACTTGATAGAGTGGACCGATATTCTCCATTTTCGCACCTGACCTAGCACTGATGTAAATATTTGGATTTGCAAAATCGGCTTCTCTTCCTGTGCAGAAAATACATATATTTTTTTGAAAATTTCAACCATTTGTGGGGTACTCGACCATCACCGAACTCGATTTAAGTTTGATAATAATATTACGCTGTACCAAATTTGGATCAAATCGGATACTTTTTTCGAGAGTTATCGTGCGCACCACCCAGTCGGACAGACGGACGGACGGACATCGCTAGATCGACTCCAAATGTCCTGAAGCGGATTTCCTCGAAAGAGACCACCGTTGCTTCGATGAGGCACGTTTTGTCAGTAGCCATATGGCAACACTGATGGCAATAATTTTTTGGTATAAACTGGAATTCAAGACTTCGTTTCTGTGGCGGCGTATATGAAATTCGATGAAGAATATTTTTATACCTTACACCACAAGGTGGTCGGTGTATTATGTCTTTGTGCATTTGTTTGTAATAGGCAAAGGGAAAGGAGATAGACCTATAGTTCCTTTTGATGTATTTATGCATTTATTTCCCGATCCAGATGAAATTTTGCACAAATCATTTGTTTGACCCAAGGACGAACCCTGTTGGAATTGGAGATAATCGGTTAAATTTTAGATATAGCTCCCATATATGCCTTCGTCCGATTTGCTTTTTATTGCATGTAATTTAGTACATACGACCAAATTAGGCCTTAGGAAAATAAGTATGACAAATTTGATCGAAATCGGTTCAGATACAGCTATAGCTACCATGTATATTGTTCATCCGATTTGTTATTTTTTTCCTCCGCAGTCGTAAAATGCACTCTGTAACAACGATATTTGGGGAAATGTATCGAATACAGCTCGGAAATACATTTGCTAAATTTTATCGAGATCGGTTCTGATTTGGATATCGTCCGATTTGCCTTTTTTGGTGCACCATATGTGTAATACTAGCCCAAATGGGATGGAATTTGGTATATACTACCAGAAAACTGATAGAAACAAGTATGTCAAATTTGGTTAAAATCGGTTCAGATATAGGTATTGTAAAAAGACCTACTTCTGATAAAAATTTAAGAATAATTCAACCATTTTTCGAAAATTGAATTAGAACGAAAATTCTACCTAGGTCCCATTGATAGTTTTGACATCCAATTCTACCTTCTGGCCCAGAAATTGTTATTATATCCACCAATTATTATTATTATTATAAAAATACTTTCAACCAAATTTCCCGCAAAAAAAATTTCAACATTTTTAGTTTTCATTAATACTGGACTCTATATTTCATTTCATTGTCATTCCTTTTCCAAAACAATCAGGAAAAAGACGACCACAATTCACTAAAACAATTATTTTCCAAACTTAAGCCCAGGGATCGGCAGGAGCAACACAGTTGACAACAATGGGATCATCTTCACTTTCACCTTCCGAGCTGGAGAAGATCATATCGATGAGAGTCCAGAAATCGTTACCCTTCAACATTTTGTTGACCTTGGGCACCAAGTTGTCTTCAATCAAATCGGAGATTTCATTTTGGTTATTGTTAATTCCCATTTCGACAAAGTTCTCAATTTGGCGATTGATCATGCGGTTGATGGCACCATTGCCCATGAAACCGGTGATTTCCGAGGTGCAAGAGCCCAAGGAGACTTGAGTCTTCATCGAGGTGATTTTGATGGAACCCCACAAGATGGGAATTTTGTATTTGATGGTACCGGCAATGCGCAAATTCTTCAAGCCAAAGTTCAAGGTACCCTCACCTTCGTACTGGACGGACAAGCCCAATTGACGCATGGCATCCAAAATGGTGTTGGTATCGTATTGGGAAGCGGAGGCAACAATGTTCTTGAAGAGGAAATCGAAGGTGATCTTAGAGGTGAGCATGTTCAGCTTGAATTTTTGGATTTTGAAATCATCCAAACCGTCAACGCGGAATTTGAAGACCTTGTCGATGGTTCTGTGAGGTGGGGAGGAGGGGAGAGTGGAGGAAAATAATTTATTAAAAACAGGTTGAAATAATTCAAGAAATAAAAAAATAAACGTTTGAAAAGCTTTAGAGAAAAACGAAAAATCCAGTTAATTAAAAAGCTTTTTTATCCAAAGCTTTGTCTATGGAGTTTCCCGAGCTAGAGCTTTGCAAAAATTTAATCTTCCACAGAGCTTTTATATATTAAAATCTTCTGTTCATTTCCGTCAAACGTTATAAAAGCTCAATGAATAAAAGAGCTTTCGAAAAGTTTTATCTAAGCTTTACTTAGCTCAAAGTCATAAATTAGAAATGGAGGAAAGAAAATATTTAAAAGCTCGTATAAATAAAAGCTTTAGAAGCTTTTATGAATAAAAACTTAAAAGCTTTTACGAATGCGAAACATTTAAGTAAATAAAAAAGCTTTTCTTCAAAGCATGGAGTCTTAACATTTTCTCGTCCATAGAGCTTTTGAAGAATATTGATCTTTGCAGAGCTTTTAAAAAACAAATTTAAAGTTTCCTTTAATATATCCGGAAATGCTTTGCCCGAAATTTAAGTCAAAACATTTTTGAAAGCTCTTTACACCCAGAATTGTTCCTCATTCTTTTTTCTTAGCCTCTCTAAAGCTTGGTTTTTAATACTCACTCCAAGATACCCTTTTTCAAGGAGATTTCAGCTTCGCGAACCTTCAAGGGAGCCAGTGGGGGGATGCCATATTGAGGCCAGCCGCAGGGCATTTGCTTTTGGAGCTTGCGGATCATGCGACGTACTTGCCAGGACAAAATGAATTGGGGAGCAACTAAAATTCACCACAGGACAAAAAACATAATAAAAAAATGCAAAAAAAAAATCCACCTCTCTCTTCTCAACTTACCACCCATGGTACCATCTTCATTGTCGACCACAATTTCAATTTCACCATCATTTTCAACCAAGTCGGCAACATATTCATCGATTTTCTGGCTCATGGGACGGAGCCCGGTGTGGGGCAATACGGTGCCGGCAAAGGCAACGCTGGCAAAAGCCAAAACCAACAAGAAACGCATTGTGAGAGGAAACTTTTCTTTTATTTTCTAACAGTAACTTTTCCTATGAAATGCTACCTGAGAACTGTTTTCTCAATGCCAAGGCATTGGCTTTTATAGAAGTCCAATATTTGTTGTTTTTGTCAAAGGTGGTCAAATCTCCGATAAGATTTCAATCTGTTAAGGTTTTAGCAAAAAGTTTTGATTTTTTTTTCTTTTCTACTTCGCAAATCATATTGGAGGGTTGCTAATAAATTATCAAGTTGTTGGTAACGATATAGGAGAGCTTATCTCTTTGTATTGGCCATTCAGTGGCAATATTCGAAATTGACGAAAGAAATGCGTTGAATTGGTTTCTTATCTTGGGAATACATTTGAATACAATGGTCTGATTTTCGGAATTAGGAGCTACAAGTGACAGGTGAAGTTTACTCAAATATAACTATTCGTAACAGACGGAAAAATACGTTCGTAACAGGACATTTCTAAACGGAAAAAGTCCGTTCGTAACAGGACTTAAAAGACCGTTCATACTTTTTCAAAACGGAAGAAGTCCGTTCGTAACAAAACTTTTTCTAAACGGAAACAGTTCGTTCGTAACAGAACTTTTTCTAAACGGAAAAAGTTCGTTCGTAACAAGACTTTTTCTAAACGGAAAAAGTTCGTTCGTAACAAGACTTTTTCTAAACCGAAAAAGTCCGTTCGTAACATGATGTTACCTAAACGGAAAAAATCTGTTCGTAACAGACCCTTTCTATACGAGAAAAAGTCCGTTCGTAACAGGACTTAAAAGACCGTTCATACTTTTTCAAAACGGAAGAAGCCCGTTCGTAGCAAGACTTTTTCTAAACAAAAAAGTACGTTCGTAACAAGACTTTTTTTCCAAACGAAAAAAAGTCCGTTCGAAACTGAACTTTTTTTAAGCGAAAAAGTTCGTTCGTAACAATACTTTTTCTAAACGGAAAAAGTCCGTTCGTAACAATACTTTTTCTAAACGGAAAAAGTTCGTTCGTAACAAGACTTTTTCTAAACGGAAAAAAGTCCGTTCGTAACAGGATTTTTTTAAACGGAATAAGTCCGTTCGTAACACGACTTTTCTAAAGGGAAAAAGTTTGTTCGTAACAAGACTTTTTCTAAACGGAAAACGTCCGTTCGTAACAAGACTTTTTCTAAACGGAAAAAGTCCCTTTGTAACAAGACCGTTCGTAAATGAACAGACTTTTTCTTTACGGAAAAAAGTCCATTCGAAAGGAACTTTTTCTAATAATCGGAAAAAGTCCGTTCGTTCGTTCGGAACGAACTTTTTACAAATGGAAAAAGTCCTTTCGGAACGAACTTTTTCTTATAATCGGAAAAAGTCCGTTCGTAACAAAAGACTTTTCTAAAACAGAATTTTCTAAACGAATATGCGGAAAAAGTCCGTTCGATAGCAGACTTTTTTTTTTGATGCGGAATAGTCTGCTTCCGTTCAACAACAAACCCCAACCCCTCAAAATTTAGCAAAAGTTTTTCTATAATTTTTTCTCAACCATTTTTATTTATTAATTTTAAATATTTCGTTCCATAACAATTTATTCCAAGAATGGGGCTGGGGTGGGAACACACTTCTTGTTGCTGCTGCCCAACATACCCAACATGCTCCAGATTTTCTTGCCCTTCATCATGGCATTGACACGTGGCACAATCACTTGTTCAATGGTATCGCTGATCTTCTTTTGGTTGCCGTTAATCAAAGCGGGGATCAAGTAGTCGATTTCATCGTTGATCATCTCGTTGATTTTGCCATTGCCCAAGATGCCACCAATGTTGGAACGGACACCACCCAAAGTGACGACACATTCGAATTTGTAGATTTTAATGGAACCGAAAATGAAGGGCATCTTGTATTTGAATTGACCTTGGAGGGACAAGTTTTCCAAAGAGAATTCCATGGGTCCGGAACCTTCATAGCGAACGGACAAGCCCAATTCTTTCATCAAATCGACAAAGGTATCGGTGTTCAGGACAGAGGCGGTGGCCTTCAATTGCTTGAAGTTGAAGTGGAATTTGACCTTCTTGTTGAAGGTGTAGGAGACCTTCAATTTCTTGATTTCCATATCTTCCAAACCGTCAAAACGGAATTTGATGGCTTGAACGATGGCACTAAGGGGGAGAGGAAAAGAAAAATTATTATAATTCTATATTTTAGAAAAGAGCTATGTTCAACTTACTCAACGAAAGACTTGGCCAAATGAACTTCCAAATCGGGATTGGTATAGGGAGCCAATGGGGGAATACCATATTCGGGCCAGCCGCAGGGCATTTGGTCAACGAAGTTCCTAACGGCCTTCTTGGCTTGAGAGTTCAAGATCAAACCTCTGGTTTCGGGATCAATGGCTATATGGGTATATTTTAACTTTAGTTTGGGTTCAAGGGAATTTAACTTTAGAAGCGGAGAATATTGTCAAAATAATCCACAAGGAACCTTGGAACATGTTTTTATTTTATTTAAAAATTGGCCTAATAGGGCCGAGTCAAAATATTATCCTCCAAACGAAAACGAATAAAAATCATAAATTTCGATAAATTACATATTCATATCAGATTTCTGGTTGAGAGAAATATGTGGGAAATTTTAGAAGATTGAAGGATGGATTTAGATGCTTATTTCGCTTTATTTGAGCGTTTTGTTTTTCAAAATCTTGAACCCTATGTAGGCGAGGTACCAGAAGAAATGGTGCGATGTCTACCATCTTTATAACAGATCTGGTGTTGATGGAAATATGAAGATGTATTGAGTCTTAATGGAATCGGATGATAATTTCGTGATTTATACGCTACGCCCTTTGTGGGCGAGGTACCAGAAGGGGTGGACCGACATATTCCATTTTCACAACAGACCTTGGGATAATAAAAATATTGTAATTTGAAGAGAGTCAGATGGTTATTTCGGATGTTTTGGCTATTCAAAATATTAACCCTTTTTGGAGGAGGTACCAGAAGGAATGGTCATATTTATAACAGATCATATCATATTTATAACGGATCTTGTATTGATAGAAAAATTGAGATGTACCAAGTCTGAATGAAATCGGATGTTAATTTCGAGTTCTATGAGCTTCATGAATATTCAAAATGTTGACCCTTTGTGGTGGAGGTACCCGAAAGGATGGACATATTCCATTTTCACAACAGGCCTTGGGTTAGTAAAAATATTGTGCTGTGTGTTATTTGAAAAGAATCGGACTCTAACTTCACATGTTATAAGAGTTATAATTATCCCAAACTTTTACCTTTTGTGGGGGAGGTACTAGATGGAGTTGATCGACATTGTCCATTTTCGCACCTGACCTAGTGCTGATGCAAATAATGGGATATGCAAAGTTGGAGCAAAACCCGATTATCCTTTCTCTTTCTGTGCAGTTAATTATATTCTTTGAAAATGTTGACTTTTTCTGGGGGAGGTACAAGAAGGAGTTTACCGATATTGTCCCTTCTCTGAACTTGATCTAAGTTTGATAATAATATTACGATATTTGGACCAAATCTGATACTCCTTTCGAGAGTTATCGTGCGCACCAGCCAGCCTGAGAGACGGACGGACGGACATCGACTCCAAATGTCCTGAAAAGGATTTGGTGCAAAGAGAAGCCTTGTTTAAAACCGTTATTTCGATGACTCAAGTTTCGGCGTATCAAATGATATATACCCTCTGTAGCCATATGGCTGAGGGTATTATAAGATGTCCAATAAAAACAATGACTTTTCTTTAAGGAACTGAAAACCAAAATCGTTTTCAGTAATAACAGATTCACATGCGAAATACCCGAGATTTCTTGGACAATCCCACCTACAGATCTGAACCACATAAGCGGAAATAATCTAATGTTAAGGAAATGTAATTTTATTTTTATATCGAGACCCTCTCTCTCTCTCTTCTGGATTAAGCATTGGTGAAAAAGGGTATCAATGTTTTTCCAATGATTCTTCATTAATCAAAAGAGCGCACGTGGTAAATTGTGCTCTCTTAAACTACTACACTATCTGTGTAGCCAAAAAATCAGCGAACTGGTGTTAGCTTCTCAATATAAATAAACTTTAAGGGACCATATATTTTCGGATTTAGGATTTACACCATAAAAACCACTTCCAGCAATCTCCATTTCTTATAAATCAGAAAAAAACTCATTGAAAACCGTTTTCTGATATTTTAAAGGGGACTATCTGAGGACTTTTAATGAAATTTAAAACGGATACTCAGGACTAAAAATCATGAATTTTAGGATTCTTGTGGATGGCAGCACAACTAAAAGAATTTATCTAAAAAATTTGTTTAAGACATTCAGACATTAATTTTTGAAAACCTTTTTTTTTTTTTTGAGAAATCCGTTTTGCAAATATCAATTTCTTCTCGAAAGTATTTAAAAATAGCTTGAACTTAGATTTTTTATAATTTTTTGTTTTAAGACTCCAACAAAACTAGATATTTCTTGCAAAGGGCTCTCAAATATTATTTTTTGAGGATGTTTGAGACACATTTATTTGAAAAAATTACCATGTTTTAGGAAGTAGTCACTGAGATGTTTTTTTTTGGTCCTATGAAGTATTTGACATGTTAACAAGATTTTATAGAAAGTAGTTTTAAACCAAGTCATTAAATATTACTGTTATTTAGGACTTGAAGTGAAAATTTTGAAAGGATACTCAAAAATAAACCCGTAAATTTTGTAGCAATTCTTTATATGAGAGAAGACCAATAAATTTGTTTTCAAAGTCTTCTTAAGGCTTATTTTAGGCATAGAGAAATTAATATCTCTGAGGCTGTTTTACATTTTTGTTCTAAGTGTTTTATTTATTTTTTTAATATTTTGAATTATACCTGAAGGATTACCGAAATTTAAATGGACAATCTAAACTAAAATCTAAATTTTAGATTTCTTTCATGCATTAACAAAGCTATTATAGTTCTTCAAATACTTTTTGAAAGCCAATTTTAGCCATTATATCCTTTCTCAGCACTGAATTTTTCAAGAATATTTAATTCAAAAATAAATAATATTTTTACAAATAAATAATATTTTTAAAAATAAATAATATTTTTATGAGTTACGACTTTTTGTCCTCAGAGGCAAATTTTTTTGGGGACATAGGGTATTGTTGAAAAAATTGTAAATATTTTTTAAAGAGGTAATTTCAAAAAAAGTAATAAAAATAGATAAATGAAAAATAATACAATTTAAAATTATATTTTCGAGGATTTGCTGAGAAAATTTTGAATTGGTACTCAGAACAAAAAAAGTGAATATTTAGCAATTGTTTTATATTTTAACCGAACAGACATTTGTTCCCAAAGACATTTTGAAGGTTATTTAGGGACAATAATTCCGATTGTTAGTGATTAATTTTTGAAGGATATGTTCAAAAAAAAAAAGGTTTGTAAAAAAACTTTTTGAAGGATTTTTATAGAATTTTTTTTTGGTTATTCAGAGCTTATTCTAGAAAGGATATTTGGAGCTATTGATCTATACCAATAAAAAAACGAACAAAAAACGTCGTATACTTTTCAATGCCATTTCCTTAGGTCATTAATAGCTCAACTCGAATGAGGAAATTATGAAATATCCAACAACAAATGAACTTGGAATTTACAAGGCAAAAATTAAAAACAAACAATATTGTTTGGAAATCAATCGTAAAATTGTTTTAATTTTTTTTTCTTGAATTTTGCTATTTTTTCTAAAGACTCTTTAAGAGAATGACATTTAGAGCGATTATTTCGGTTTAGTTAGAGATTAATGTTTTTGGACAAAAAAGTTGCCAACCTGCCATCTGACAAATCGGCAATAATTTCGAAGAATAATAATATTAAAAATTCTTAAGAGAGAGGACTATCAGAATATTTCTTCAAGGACTATCAGATCTATAAATGTAGATTTTTAAAGTATAATTTTTTAAGGACTATCAGAATATTTTTAAAAAGACAATCAGACCGATAAACTGGGATGTTTAAAGATTCTTTCTATAAGGACTCTCTGAATAATAATCGTGAATTTTTAAAGTTTATTTCTCCAAAAACTATCAGACCTGTAAACGGGTCTTTTCTTAAAGGATATTTTTTAAGACAACCAGGTCTATAAATGTAGATTTGTAAGGAATATTTTTTCAAGGACTATCAGGACCACTTAACGTGGATTTTTTACAAATATTTCTTCAAGGACTATCGGACCTATAAACGAGGATTTTTAAATAATATTTTTCCAAGGACTTTCAGACCTTTAAACGTAAATTTTAAAAGAATATTCCTTCAAGGACTAACAGACCTATAAAAGTGGATCTTGGACCACTAGTCTTGGATTTTTAAGAAATATTTCTTCAAAAACTATCAGACCTGTAAACGTAGACTTTTAAAGAATATTTTTTGAGGATCCATTAATCTTGACAAATCGCTACTAAAAATAATATAAAAATTCTTAAGAGAGCACCTAGCTTTTATTCATAAAGCGAAATATTCAGCAAGGAATTCGTTCGAATATCTAAGACCCATTTTGTTTCCTCTTCTCCATTTAATATTCAAAAAAAAAAATCAACACTCCAAAATCTTTCAAATTAGTTCCCACAACATATTTTTTATGTAAATCTCAAAATTGTTATCGCCAATTGCAACAACAAAAGGCCCTCAATCAAACAATTTATTACCCCACTAGGATTTTCAAGTATCGCCACACATGGTGTTTGACGTTTTAATAATTAAAATGGAAAACAAATTTTGACAATATCTTCGATCACAAATCTAAAAGGTGAGTGTGTTTGTCGTACTTACTTTGGTCGTTCATGAAGTTATCCCATTGTTCTTCGGTCAAGAGTTCCACTTCGTAGGCGGCAACGCAGGCCAACAAGGCCACAAACACCACAAAAAATTTCATTTTTTGCAAAAATAATAAAGGATTACTTTGTAGATGTGCGCACCAAAAAATTACAATTTTGATAGCTGTCAAATAGGTTGCGCTTCATGGTTTATATACCCGGCAGAATATTGAACGAATTGCCCACACCTAACCCCCCGCCAAGTTTGTGTCTTTCCATAAGGGGTATAAATTAATTTTACATTTTATTTGTTAACAAATCGTTTTTTTTTTTTTTTTTTTTTTTTTTGATTAAATGATTTATTTTCAACTTGTTGACTTGTGTTCTACAACTAACAAACAGTCTTATCGCTCAACAGCCATAATCGCAGCAGAGCAGAGAGAGATAATCATCTACAAATCCCATAAAGGATTTGCAATGGCGCACGTACATAAATTTTCATTAGCTGATAAAATGCATTTCCAGTGGAAAAAACAATCAGTTTGTTTTTCAAAAACAAAAATACCTGCTTGTTAATTTTAGCTCAAGTGGCAATCATCCGCATACGCAGAGTACTGCACTTACTAAGGATCATAAATTTTTCGACTTAAATTTAGATTTAACCAGTCACGGCAATAGACAGATATAGATTTGTGGCCAATATCTGGCCACTTAGACTGTTCTTAAACTTTGTCACATCACGCAGGCCGCATGTTCCAGAAGAGAATGAAAGTTCGAAATATTTGAATATTGGTAATTAATATTTTGTTTATTAATTATTTCAAGTTTGCTAATATTGACGTAATAATAATGGGTTTAAAAATTCGTAATAAGGCGATAGTAAGGATAAGGGATTTTCTTAAGAATATTCTTTCAAGGTAGATTTTTAAGAAAAAAAAACTGCAAGGATATTTTCAAGGACTATAGACTTTAAAATAATATTTTTTCAAGGACTATTAGACCTATATTTGTGGATTTTTAAACAGACCATTAATCGTGAATTCAAGGAAATTTCTTCAAGTACCAACAGATCACTAATCTGGATTTTTTAAGAATATTTCTTCAGGGACTATCAGACCTATAGACCTGTATTTTTAAGAATATTTCCTCTAGGACCATTAGGCCAGTAAACGTGGATTTTTAGAGAATATTTTTTCAATGGACTGTTAGACCTGTAAGCATGGATTTTTAAAAAATTTTTTTTCAAGGACTCTGAGACCTGTAAGTGTGGATTTTTCAAAAAAAATTTTTTCAAAAACTCTGAGACCTGTAAGCTTGGATTTTTAAAAATATTTTTTCAAGAACTCTGAGACCTGTAAGCGTGGATTTTTACAAATATTTTTTTCAAAAACTCTGAGACCTGTAAGCTTGGATTTTTAAAAATATTTTTTCAAGAACTCTGAGACCTGTAAGCGTGGATTTTTACAAATATTTTTTCAAAAACTCTGAGACCTGTAAGCGTGGATTTTTACAAATATTTTTTCAAGGACCCTCAGGCTAACAATCGAGGACTTTTAGAATATTTCTTCTTCCTATTCAAGGACCATTAATGTGGATTTTTTAAGAATATTTCTTCAAGATCAAAAAAACCTATAAACGTGGGTTTTTAAAAAAAATATTTTTCAAGAACCCTCAGACTAAAAATCGAGGATTTTTAGAATATTTCTTCTTTCTATTCCAGGACCATTAATGTGGATTTTTTAAGAATATTTCTTCAAGATCAAAAAAACCTATAAACTTGTTTTTAGTAAAAAATATTTCTTCAAGGACTATCAGACTCACAAAAATGGATTTTTAAAGAATATTTCCTCGAGGACCAATAGACCAGTAAACGTGGATTTTTAAAAAATATATCTTCAAGGACCAATAGACCAGTAAAAGTGGATTTTTAAAAAATATTTCCTCAAGGACCAATAGACCAGTAAACGTGGATTTTTAAAGAATATTTCTACAAGTCCAACCTGGCACATCGCAACATTTATGTCATATTTATTTAAGTTGAATATGAAATAAAAAATATTGGCCCATTCTTTTGGAACCTACTCCATATAGGGTCAACAATTTGAATAATCATAACAGAAGTCTAAATATATTTAAAAAACCCCAACATTGGCTGAGGGAATACATCTGTTGGCAAAACTGACTGATGCTTTTTAACTAGTTTAAATACAATTTTGGATTTGTACACACATATAATTGTGAGTTATTTCCGAATATTTCTCTAAGGGCTTTGAGACCATTATTTATTATTTCTTAAAAGATTTTTATGATATATTTCTGTGGAACCACTTTTTTTATACCCTCCAAGGTATATTAACTTCGTTATCTTCTCGAAATATTCATAATATACTCTACAGAGCATATATATTCTGGATTAGCGTAAAATTCTAAGACGATCTGATCTCAGGTTAAGTTCGTAAATGGGCAATATCGGTCCACGTTTTCGTATAGCCCCCATATAACGGTACCTTCCGGTATTCGGTATTTTCATGATTTTAGCGAAATTATTCACCGGAATTATTTCAAAGTTTGTATTTGAAGGTCGTAATGGGTACTGCAGCCCATGCAGGTCTAAGTCTTCGTATAGCCCCCATATAACAGTACCGCCCCATAGTCGGTATTTTGACGATTTCACAAACATAATTCGGCGGAATCGTTTCAAATTTCATATTGAACGATCTTAATGGGTACTACAACTTATGGCCACCTCTTCGCATAGCCCCCATATGACTGTTTTCATTTAAGTGGTAGTTTTCGATTTTTTTTTTTAATTTTTTTTGAAAATATTTCCTGAAGGATTATAAAGCAAAAATTTCGATTTTTTAAGGCTTTCTCTTGAAGGTCTCTGTGGCCTGTAAAATCGATTTTATTACGAACTTTTTGAAGCACCATCAGATCAATAATTGTGAATTTTGACGGATTTTCCTTGGGCGGCTAAAACAATTGTGGAGTTTTCGGCATTTTCTTCAAGGACTATGAGACCAAAAAAAGATTGACATTTTTATATATGAGTCCAGCATTTGTGAATTTATATTTTGAAAGATTCTTTTTTAAATATTTCTTAAGAGAGTTTTGAGAAATTTTCTTGAAGGACTGTGAGACGTACCATCATGGATTTTTAAATAATATTTTTTCAATAACTATTTTTTTATGGATCTTCATTTTAATCATGGATTGTTCACAAATACTTACCAAACAATAAAATTAGGATGAAACTTCTAATAAACATTATAAGAACTATAAAACTATATCATTAAACTATACAACTTGAACTAGCGTTAAAAGGTTTAATATTAAAAATATTTAAAATATATAACAGAAAAGTGTAATAATAACCCGACATTCCGTAAAACCTAGATAAATAATGTTCTTCCTAATAAATGAGGGCTTTATGTATATAATTATAAATTGGAATACAATACCATAATTATTTATAGTTCCTACTTCCTGACAGGAAATTCTTGTTTTAATTAAATTCAAATTAAATGAATTTCTAGTTTTGAGATGGTACTCTAAAAAATCAGTTTTATATATTAAAATGACTTTCCAACCTTGATTCTCACACCAAATTTCAATTTTTTAGCTCTTTCCGATCACAAAGTACCAAATGGTACCATTTTAGAGTTTTAGTATCATTATTGAACTTTTGGCAGCCTTAAAGTTCGAATTTCCAAAAATCCTTTTTTTCCTTTTTTTCTCATTCCAAATTTCAGAATTCTACCTTGACCCTTTTGTCCAATATTACTTTCTGTTCAATTTTTAGTACATTTTAGGCTTTTTTCCAAACAAACCCGGCCTTATCACAATCCAGCCTTAGTCTTTTCGTCTGATCATTGATTCTCAGTCAGTCAGTTATTCCACAACTCTTTTATGTATAGAGATATCAACGATCATGGCTTTCTATTTCCCTCTTTCTCGCTCTCAATCTCTCTCTCTCTTTCCCTTTGGAACTAATTTAATGTACCAATGAAACAATTTGCATAACATTCCAAATTTCCAGCCGGCTAAGTACTGACTCCATTTGAATAAATCTAAAATAGTCTACCCTCATCCAGATATCTACCATAAGACCACTTTCAAATCGAAATACTAGACACTCCAGGAGTCCACAACAAATGTACTCGTAGATTGTTCGACAATGTTTTTTAATTAATCCTATCGCTGGCCATACATTTGCCTTATCAAATATTCATCACGCGAAAAAAAAAAACACTTGCCAAATACAAGTATCCTCTTCATAACTTGACAAATATTTTATATTTTACTAATTGTTTAAAGATAATTTGTTTTTCTTTTTATAAAAACATATGGTATTGAGTTCGAGCATAGATAAGATTTTTTTTTCTGTTATACGTAAGAAATGGTCATGTTACAAATAAATTTTGACAATAACAAAGTTGTGAGAAGTTCTAAAAATATAAAATTAATTTAAATTGGCAACTAAAAGTGGTATTTCTAAACCATATCGAAATGGATAATCTGGGAAGATATTGACTCTATTGGTATTATTAATTTTGTAGAGCGCTACAAAAAATGTTTGTGAATGGCGACTAATGGCAGGATAGAGGCCGATCAGGTAATACTCTATGACTAGTTTAGAAGATGTCGAAATGAGGACTTATTAGGTCATTCCTTACGTTTCCACTAGCTATTAGTGGATATCCTATGGGAAGAGGGTGTCATAGTATTTTATAGAAAGTGAAAATGTGAGTCTACTGTGATAAGTTCTTATAGGTAAATTTTCTCAGAACTAGAAGTTCTGCCATGTGTCCTCAAGTTTAAAAATGTTCCTATGTCATGCCTAAGTAAACGCTGAAGGGAATGTGTTGGGAAAATATCATTAAAAAAAACATTAAAAACTTCGAGGAAACAAAAATCGTAGATTCCGAGAGAAACTTTTGGAAGTCTATGATACCAAAATATAGTGGATTATTCAGGATTTAACTGAAGGGCACTGGTCAGAACTTAAAACAAAAAAAATGTTTTTAATGAACTATGGGATAAATAATGGTGGATTTTCCTTTAAGAACTATGAGACATTGGTCTGAATATAAAAAAAATTAATGGAATTTTTGACAAACAATCGTGGATTTTCCTCCAAGGACTATGAGACACTGATCAGAATTTTTAAAATAAATATTTTCTTAATGGACTGTTTGAGAAAT